GGCAGGCCCATGGGTGTGATTTTTACAGCACAGCGTGATCTGACTTGAGTGTGCAGCTGAGAGAACTGTAGTTTGGAAAATGGACCATTTCTCCTGGTTTTGCTCTCTGAACTTGTTCACCACAGGGCTAGACATTCAACAATTTTGGTGCAAGGATGGAGCCAGGACCATGCAATCAGGAATATTTATATTATAAAACTGTATCCTCAGACTTGCATGGATGCCAGAATTGTAACTTGCTCTCATTTACTATTTCTCACTGGTAAGGTAGGGTGGGAGAAGACAGGTCCCTTTTATCTAAAGGGCATTTTCTCTTGTTGCAGGACCCCATTTACAGGTATTGCTGACTTTTCATCAATGAAGAACAGAATCATTCAGCTCTGCTTGGATCTCACTACTACTGTTCAGAAGGTCAGCTGATTTCTTTTCCACTTTGCTTTCCAAAAGGGAAGGAATGGGGGTGTTTGTGAAGTAATGTTTTCACTGTGTGCAGAGCGCAAATTGGAAGGCAGATCTGGAAATGAGAGCTTACTTGAAAGGTCCATGAAGCTCAGTTTCAGCTGTGTGTCGTCCCCCAACTCAATTTCCAATTTTGCTATTGCTGGCTGTATCTGAAGTGACTGTGATTTAAAGGCTGCTCACTTTCTTGAGCTTTGATGGGAAGAGGTTTAGTTTTTAACTAAATGTAGTTGGTCTACATTTAAAGATTTTCAAGTTTCAAACAACTTGTTGAAAAAATTATCAGTGCTAGCTCTTAAAAAAAAAAATGGTTATTCTGGTTATTACACATGCTTTTGGATTTCTTAGGTGTTGTCCCATGCAGAGTGTTTTATCCATCAGATGGAAAATGCTGCATGTAGTGGAAAGAGCTGCCAGCTTTGCAACACAAACCCCACTAGCTTGGCTTCTTCTACCAGTAGTGTGAGACCTCAGTTTTGTTTCAAAATTCCATTTATCAGCTATGTGATGGGTGCTCATATTGGTAGCAGCTAAAAGGACATACAGCAAACTATGGCAATCTCAGCAAATTATGTCATTCTGCTCTCTGAATAATACTGCCTGTCTTTGAAACAGCAATCCTCTGCTTTGGCTGTGAAACACTGTGTGCACACTTCAGTTCCAGCCCAACTTGCTTGTAGTCATTAGTCTGTGGCCATATATTGTGTGAACTCCGAAGGACCATGTCCTGTGACATGGGTGATTCTCTCCCAGTTTTGAGGGGATGATGTCAAAGGACAGAAACATCCTGTGAGTTGTCAAGCTATGATAACACCCAATTTTATCAGTTGGATCATTGTGAAAGGATAATGTCTGGATAGTACAATATAAGTTCAAAGTAGCACAAGTTTGGCTTGCTGCTGAATGCCCTTCTTGTTTAGGCACTGCATGTGCAATTGCAGAGAGTCAGTGATTTACAACTACAGATTTGCAGATTGTGAAGTAGAACAGTAAGTGTTTCTAGTAGCAGATGGTATTCACCCAAGAGTGCTACAGGAACTGAGATACGAGATTGCTGAACTGTATTAATAAAACTACTAAAAATGGTGTCTAATCTTTCAGTTAAATCAGCCTTTGATGGCAGGGGAATTGAAGTTGGCAAATACAACCCTAGCCTTTTAAAAACTGTCAGTAATTCTCTGCCAACTTGATATGAGCTATAATAAAGAATGGGATTGGTGCATATAAGGAAAAACATTAATGGAAGAAGAATCAATGCTGTTTCGTACTGGGACACTGCAGATACGTTAGAATGGTCTGAAGGAATCCACTGATGTGGAAAAGGGAGAGACAACTGAAAAATCTTTAGGTGATTTAGGCTCCATCAGACAGGGGAGGCTTCTAGCAGCTTCACATAGAAGCCATCCCGTAGGTCTCCTGCTACCAAAACCTTGCCATGCAAACCCAGTACAGATGTATCTTGGATTTTAAGCTTGTTTAAATGCTTGAAGTTTGGGGGTTTTCTCCTTAGAGATAATGTAGATCTTGTTTCATTATTTACTTGTTTTAGCTTTCGAATCTGAGAATCTGCTACCATTCTCTAGCTCTTCTTGCAGAAAACACTGACGACTTTTGTAGCTTGTTACATGAACTTGTTTCAGTTCAAAGACTTTTGTGCCTGGGCTGTGTAAAAAATGCTTTCTGTGCAGTCCTCTGGCCCTCAGGAATGTCATCAATAGCATATTTTTAAAAAATCACTTTTCTATTTTTAACAACATGTTTTGGATCCATTTTGGTGACTGGGACACAGCAGCTCCTGAGTTGGTCTTTTATCAGAGTAAGGCATGCTCATGTGCCTGGCCTTCTGAGAGTCTTGTTTTATGGTGCAGGATTCTGTTTTTCTGGAGAAGTCTGTTGGCTGTGATTGAATCTCGTGTTCTCTTAGTTTTCAAGGCTTATTGTTGCTTTCTACCAGGGCCAGAAAATAGTTGTTTAACAGTACATTTGAGCCCTACTGGGTGAAACTAATCTGATTAATCCCTGCAGCACGAATAACTCTATTTCAGGTCGAGGTTAAAGTGATGGTTTTGCAGAGTTTTCAGAGATGATGTGTTTACTTGATTATTGGTTAATGTATGCCTTTTGTTCTTGTTCTGTTTTTAGGACTGCACTGTGGCTGACATGGAAGATAAAGTTCAGACTGTAGTAAGTACACTATTCTGTTGAAACTCAGCTGCCTCCATTCACATTTATTTTGGTGGCTTCTACTCTGACAACAGCTTTCCAATTCCACACATACAGATGTATCATGCAAGTAAACATTGTTATGGGCCATTTTGTGAATATTCTTTGCTCTAGAGAAGATCAATGAAGTTTGAACAGACTGGCAGTGTGTGTAATAGCATGGAGTAAAGTATTCCTTAAAGTTTCGTTGCAGAACTATGTATGTATTTATTTTTCAAGAGAATTTAGACCTCAAATTTGTAGGCCAAATAAACCAAGTATGCCTGCAATGTGTCTGCTTATTAAGGGACTAAATGCACTGTGACTTATTAAACTTGTTCACGTAAAAGAACTATCCTGCCACAGAACTGAAGTTCTGTCTCTGATTGTACTCAAGTTAGTTTTTAGGGTTGTTTGAAACAGCCTTGTGACCAAATGAGGAGTGTAATGGAATGCTTTTTATATTTTGTAACAGTTAATCACCGCTTCCTGCTTTTGACGTGATCCAGGCTGTGCTCTTTGATAAGGCCTTCCGCTAGCTCATAGATGCTTAGGAATTTAGTAGCACAATAACTAAAAATAATTTTGTCCATAAATAATGAGACCACGTAAAAGAGGGTTTTTTTGCATCTTTCTTTTTCCATTTGTGCACACCCACTCTGGAAGTAGCTATTGTTGTTTGGAGTTCCCTTGTTTGAGCAGTTCCTTGCATTCACACTTAAGCATTGTTTTGATTTATTTTATAGCTGCTCTATAAATCTAATGTAAAACAAAAGAAAAAACATTGGAACTATTGTTTCCAGGGACCACTGTAATCCAAACCAATGTCTTCCTACGAGGCAGCTCCCCCTGTTCTGTAGTTGTATGTCTACTTTGACTGAAGGATTCAAAGCCCTTGTGAAATACGACTTACCCTGCTGGTTCCCAAGTTATGTGTAACTAACTGCTGTACTGTGTACTAATCCTCCCTCCCCTCTCCTTTAAGCTGTTGTAACCTACTTTAAGTTTCAGTATTGCTTCAGTTAACCCAAACCACACTGTGGGGCTTTAATGAAATCTCTGAGTGTAGGGCAGGCACAGATTTTTGGACTATAACTTTTTTTTTTTTCTGATTAATTAGCCTTTCTGCTAGTTACAAGCTGTACAAGACAAAGATGTTTTGCCTCTGACTTTACTGACACACACTTACAAGGTCAGAATTTGCCTTTCGTTACAATGTTGGCTTAGGATCAGTTATGTTTTGGTCAAAAGGAAATATGAACCTTGCCTGCATAAGCATTCCAGAAGAGGTCAGTTCAGAGGCACGGTGGAAAGAAATAATGCTGAAAGGCTTAAGTGCTAGATGTCTTGCCTTATACTGTAAAACTGCATTTAAATCAGTGGCCAGCACCTCACTTTTTCTGACACATGACCAATTTTATTCTCATAGCAGAAATAAACAGAATGAAAGTCTGTCAGCTGTTCCCACAAAGATCCATTAAAATATTTCAATATTTTAATAGGTTATATTTTGGTTAAAGCAAACAAACTCCAAACACAATTTTTTGCTGCTATGTGTGTATTTTTTTTTTTTTTTTTTTTAAATGGAAGGTGTGTTGGCATCTGTTAGCAGTGATGAGGTGGCACTAATGGAAACAGGTTTGTTGTGCTAGGTTACAGTAAGAAGATAAACATGCTGTTGAATAGATTTGTACGAATGAATCTTCTATTTGGGTGATTCTTAAGTATGATTTATTAGTGGACCAAGTTCCAGAACTCGTTTCCTTTCTGTTTTTGAAAACTGAAAGAGGAAGAAGCCAGGAGAGAAATTTTGTAACTGTTTCTGCATGTTCTCATTTAGGCCAAGACTTTAAATGGCATTTGTGATAAAGCCATCCAGTCAACTACAGATCCATTGATGAGCCAGTGTGCATGCCTGGAGGAGGTTCATTTAACCAACATTAAACCTGGGGAAGGCCTGGTAAGAACCAATCCTGGAATGTCCTGATGATCCCAGTGTTTAATAGGTATTCTTGTGATCACTGCATATGGCAAGATGTTTCAAAACCAGTAATATCCTATGGGAAACGGAGGCATGGTGAGGAACTCTGAAGGTTAATTGTCAGGTAGTGTGCTGGAGTGGCTGCCAGAGATAGGTATATACATTAATAAGTTGCATTCCAAATATTATGCTAAATTGCTTCAAATTTGTTCCTTAACCAGGATACTGAGGAATTTACTGGTGCTTGTGAAATCAATCATTTCATTTTTGCAGGTTGACTTAACCAGCTAATTTTATAGCAGGGCTGGTTGAGGGAGAAGACTATGAGAAATTATGTTTGTGTTTTGAAAGACACATTTTATGTGTCTTTATAGCAAGATCGAGAATAATATGAGGATTTTTCAGGCTAGCAGGAGTATCAGAAATCCCTTTAAAAGTACAGTAGCTGTGTAATGTTACTAAATCTTGTTTATTCAGTGAATGCTACTTAGCTGAGTGCTGGTTATGAGAAACTGAGATTGAAGTCTTGGTGGATTTTCTGGCTGGGGAACAGACATGTTATAATGAGTTGGAGGGAATTTAAATTCTTAAGTACATTTGTATTCCCTCCACCCCAGCCCCGAAGGCAAGAGATGAACACTTTTAGAGGAAGCTTTACAGTGTTACTGTGCTACGCAGTTTTACCTAGGCCATTGAATTAGACCGAACCAGTCATGCATTCTTGAAATTATGGGGACCTCTTTGTTTAGTGCACAAGTTACAGTGAAGCGGAGTCAGCCTATCTTGGACTTAGTAAGAAATGAGGAGGTAGATGCACACAATGAGATACTGACAGGCAAACAGGGAAGGGAATTGGCTGGAGAAGAAGGGGCAAAAAAACCCAAACCATCTTGTATCTTTCCTTCTACTTGTAAGCAACTGTGGTAACTTCAGGCAGACAAGCTGCCTACAGCTCCTGAATAACATTCAGTTCTGTACAGCTCTGTGAGTGCATCTAACGACAGATGTAGACAGGAGAAGTAGAAACTTACTTGTTCATAAATGATGAAACCAAGGTACTGGACACCTCTTGTGGGGAAATCTGGACAATCGCTAGTAATAGCCTGTTTGTGATTTTTTATTTTTTTTTTTTAATTTGATGTTCATACAGTCAGCACTCACTTCATCTGAGTTTGTCCTTACTTTCACACTCAGCTTTAACATTTAGAGCCACAAACCCTTAGTTCTGCCGGAGCTCTTATTGCTGATATCAGCACTGTGGTTACAAGGCCATCTGCATATTGACTTGCCAAGAGAAATTGTAAGAGAACATGTAGGCAATATTTGTAGGCCACCTGTGTAAGTGCGCTTTGTATGAAGAGAACTGGTGGCCATCTAGGAAAATCTGTAATTCTCTGGTGCAGACTGGGCAGTAAGGAAATAAAGTTTTGTTCAAGGCAAAAGACTGACAAGGCAGCAAACCCAGCAGTGTTTGGTATTATGAACCAGACGGTGATTCTAAATTGCATTCCAGATATTAGTTGTTTTAATTCATTCTAATCTATTATAATTAATTACAGTAAAAGTGATCTGTGAAGAGGTTTACAATGTTGTAATATTAGACCACACACTTTTCTAGAGAAAATGTGAATTGTCTTTCTAATAATGTTTTGAGTCTGTTGCCAACAGTTGTTTAATCAGATAAGTTAATGCTGTTTTTTTGTCTTCAAACTTGTTTTTCATTTTCTACTTACATTTAGGGAATGTACATCAAATCAACTTATGATGGATTACATGTAATTACTGGAACTACAGAAAATGTAAGTGAAGTAAATATAGATTAACTCAGGCTGTCTGACAGTAGCTTTGAGTGAGTTTGGCTTTTTTACTACTTTTTCCTGTTTTACATATGACTTTCATGATATTACTGCTTTAAATACCCCGTGATGCATCATTTGTTTATCCACAATTTGTAAATATTTGTGTCTGCATGTTTCACTGTTAGTCTAATTAAACCAGTTTCTACAAGTACATGAGTTAGTTCAAATACTTGGCATGAAAGTAATTGCTTTAATAAGTTACTCTATCTGCTGTTCTGAGTGCTTATGATATCATGCTTAACAAAGCCTTGAATGTATTTTCTCGCTGCTGGCAAAGGCAATCTCCCCTAATGGGAACATTTAGGTAGCAGTGTGCTTAATTCAGTAATAAGTAATGAAATCAATGAGCTGTCCAGTGACAAAATTACCTTGCAGAATAAAAAGACCAAAGAAAAGTAAGACTTTGAGTGGTCTGCTGGAAGGAAATGGCTGAGGCAGATGGCTGCTTATTTTAGTCTTAGACTGTGAGTTCTCTATAGCTGAGACTTTATTAAAGGTTTCTGGGCAGTGACTGCAGTGGACCTCTGGCTAAGCAGCTGAGGCTGGTGAGTGATGCTGTGGTGTTGTCAGACATGCCACTCTACAGGAGTAGTGGCTGAAAGAAAAAAGAGTGAAGGATCTTGGCTTTTGCAGCCATGATTTCTTTCTTTTTTTTTTTTTTTTTTTAACTGAGTGAATATGAAAGAACCAGTGATTCTGGTTGTACTCCTGCCAAGTCCAGGGGCCAGGGAGGAGTGTATAGAAATCTGCTTGCAGCTCAGAGTGAAAATGGAAAGCTTTTCCAGCTTTTGTGCTATTGCCCTGGCATAACTGTATAGGATCTGCAACAGAGACCAAGTCCACTTTGACAGCAATTTCAACATCTGAATAAAATAAACAAATGTAATGTTGACTGCTGACAAGCTGCCTGTGCATATAGATCTTATTTTGGAGGCCAGGAGTAGGGCTGTATTGTTTCTATAGCTTTGAGTGCTGACCTAAATATCTGCTTTTTTTAAATCGACACTGGTGTTCTTCCTTTGGAAAAGCTCATTATTTTAGAGCAACAAAATTTGACAAGTGACTGAGATCTGCAAACAACTGATGTCTTTCTGGTGGCATGCAATTATTTAGATGAGCTAGACTGGGTCTCAGTACAATTTTCTTACTAGGTTTGGAATGGTATTTTAGTAGCTATCATCAGAGGCCAATGTATTGGAATGCAGTGGAACTGCACCCCAAAATTAACAGTACTGTACATTGGAAGGACTGAGAAAGTCCATGCATTTGGTATCAGTCAGCCAAGAGGATTCCTGAGTTGTGCTGTCCTACTTGTAACTTCCTGTGTCATGTTGTCCTAGATGTAAATTTTGCTCTTTCCTCTATTCTCACAATGCAATTGCAGTGTCTGCTGTGTAGCTGGAGTTTGCTCTAGGAGTCCTCTGTGCAAGGGTCCCCCACCCTCCCCAGACAGGCTGTTGATCACGCGAAGGACAGCTTGAAATGAGCTTTGTTTTTCACAAACTTGACTTCATCCCAGCGTTTTTTCATGATCTTGGTTGACTCATATATATGCAGCCTTACACAGAGGCATTTCCTCTCGGAGGAAGCAAGAAGACAATGAAGAAATGGGGTTACTTGTGATAGCTGGAGACTCCCACAGATTTCCATGTTTTCTTGCCTAGTTTCACTGTTCACTCCTACAGTTCCTTCTAGTAAAAAAGTTACTTGAGCTCTGAAGGTGTGATGACAAGGAAAAGGAAGTCCATAACCGAAGTGTTTAGTTCTGGAGTCATTAGGAAGAGCTGGCTTGCTGCCATGTGGTTACTCATGGGGTGGGGGGAATGGGAGGAGAGTTGTCCTCTGACCAGGGTACAATATAGCAAGGTACTATGCCTGGGTGCTTTGGGTGTTGTCAAGCCTGATCAGAGTTGGTGTGTTGTATTGACAAATTTCCTCACTATTGGTTCCCTAGAGCTTGGTTTTTATTCACAGAAAATTGTATTTTAAAGGTGTATTATTATTACTAAATAGGTATTTTAAAAATACCTGTCTATGCACATTTGATGTGTGCAAACATATGTTTTTATCTGTTGACCTTGATGCAGACAAGTAATTTCACATTAAACTTGGTAGCTCTTATTTACATTAGGAAACAAAAAGAGAAAGTGTAATGGATCTATTTTGTGGCTTGAAGGATTTTGGTCCTTTGTTCTGTACGTTCAAAGTCTTACTGTATTTTTTTAATTGGTATACGTTTATTGGAAAGCTAGATTTTAAGACAGCTGCTGTGTTAGGACAGAAGTCTTCCTGCTGCTGTCTCAAACTACAGTACAAACTGGAGACAAAAGGACAGCGGAGACCGTTCCATGACTTAAGTACAATTTGGCCTGTGGCAGATACGCGCTATGCCTTATCCCTTTCCCTGTAGCTCTCTGTCTATAAAAAATAAATCGTAAGTTGAATTCATTTGCAATTCTCAAGTCATCAACAGATCTAATGTGTGATCTTCATTATAGATACAACCTTTGACTTTGCTTGGTGGGGGTTGTTATGGGAGGGAAGAAAACCTGCTGAAGCACATGGCTCTTTGTTTTCTTCTGTAGTCCCCTGCTGATCGATCTCAGAAGATTCATGCTGGCGATGAAGTGATCCAGGTTAATCGGCAAACTGTGGTTAGTAACAGCCTTACCAACCTTCCCTTATGCTTCCTCTGTAAAGCTCACTCCCCACAGGTTCTGAATGGATGCGGTCAGGAGGTGGTTCTGGTGTTTTCCTTTTGAAATCTTTGAGGCTTTTTAACATTCTGTTTTCAAGACAGATTTTATTCTTTGCAATATTTTGCTAAAATAAATATGCCATATTTCATGTTTCAATGATGTATGCATCATATTAAAATAATTCATGTTGTATTTAAGGCCTGTTTTAAAATGCACTGTTACAATCTACTGAAATACAGATAAAAACAGCTTTAAAAAAAGCCACCTCAAGTATTTGTCAACTTGTTTGTATCTGGGAACTTATATAAAATGATTATATTTTTACTAGCACAGGCAAGGAATGTCTTTCAATGTGAGAAAGAAATGTGACAGTTCACTGTAAATGCCTATGTAACTCAATCTGAGCACATCCACAGCTCTAGGACCAGAGCTGAGATACAAAGAACATTGCATGATATCTCAATGCTTAATTTACGACTTAAGCAGAGATCTTCCTTTGAAACAAACTAAAGAACAACCTTCCAAAAAAAAGAGCTTTCCAATTTTTTTTTTAATATTCTGACTTTTTTGGATGTCTTTCTCTTTTTAGGTTCATGTTAAAACAGACAGTTTGACTTGGGAGACTTGGGTTTTTCTTGTTTGTTCACCTTCAGAAAAGCAAGACAAAACAAAAGATGTCTTTTATTCTTTTCCAGGTTGGATGGCAACTAAAAAATCTGGTGGCAAAGTTGCGAGAGAATCCTGCTGGGGTTAGGCTGCTGCTAAAGAAACGTCCTACTGGCTCTTTCCATTTCACTCCTGCTCCGTTAAAGAACCTGCGTTGGAAACCACCCTTGGTGCAGGTAAGAGGCTGTTGGCTCAACTCTAATGTTGGGATAGGAATGCCTTGCTTGCAACTTGAAAAAAGAGAGATACTAGACATGCTCCCAGATACATGTTTAACTATAGGTCAAGGAAGGTTAGGTGAAATGGCTGTCCTCTTCTGGCCCCTAGATAAAAGGGAAAACGTTCTTGCCTCCTCCCTTCTTTTTTTTTTTTTATTTGTTTTTTAAATCCAGATAACGCCTTCTTGACACATAAACCGACTAGGTGTGTTGAGCATTTTAATCAATCTGTGTGCCACTGGGAGAACTTATATGAGGCAAAACTGCTGATAAGTATGGAATTCATCAGCATGGAGTAATAAATGCTTCCTCTGTTTAGCAGAGTTAATATGTTTTTGCTGAAATAATGTAAATTATTCTATATATTTGTCCTCTTTTTAGTCTGGTGAAGGGTG